TTCGGTTTATCAAAAGAACACGGTGCTTTCCTTTGGGAGATGACAAAAAGCCCACTAATGTCCAGTCAGGAAAGATGCAAACAAAGTCCATCTTCCACCTAGAGAAAGGGAAGCTTTATACACAAGCGGCAGGTTGGCATGCTTGAGAGAGAAAGTTGTTGATGATTTTTATACCGCCTCTATTACTGTAGTGTCTGAGTACCTAACAGTCTTTTAACTTATTAATGCTCACAGCACTCTAATGAGGTAGGAAGTACTGCTGTTACCATTTTACAGTAGAAAAACCGAGGCACACAGAGATGAGGTTTTTGCCTACATGTGGAATTTATTGCAAAGTCAGCTAGGGTATGAATTTACAAGACAATAGCTACTGCGAACTGACTCTTCCCAGGTTTACACGAGACGCTGACTGTGCAGTAGCTCATTACTACTGCGCAGCAGCGTCGCATGGCACAAAGTGTGATGTGGTGCTACTGCACGGTAGTAACAAATTAGTGCACAGTCAGTGTTACCTAAAAGCTGTTTGGCGACACTACTACAGAGTAACTCTGGTTACTGCACAATCACTTGGTATTTGTGTATGCAAGTGAGAGGCAGTTTGCTCCAATTCCAAAGTAGGAAAGTGAAGTAAGCTACTGCACACTAAGACTGGCCACACGGGGTGTTAGTGCAGAGTAGCTAGTTTGCCTGTAAATTCATATCCTAGCTTACCACATATTAACTTCCCCATGCAGAGAAGTCCTAAGTGATTTGCCAAGGTCATATAGGCTGTGTGGTGGAGCAGGAAATAGCCTGGGACCTGGAAGCCCAGGCTCAAACACCCTAACATCTGTCTTCTATGAATAAAAAAATCCATCTTGAATGTACATAGGTAGGTAGTTAGCTGTGTTATCCTGAAGTCAGGCAGAAAGCAGAGTAGAGAGACTTTATAGATGAACTAAATCAGAGATGGATAAGTTTTTGCCAACCCAAGCATCTGATGAAGTGAGATGCAATAAGTGAACTGGGCAACATAAAGTAAAAATGTGTTTTCCACAATTCCCAAGCTAAGAAGAAATGCAGCACGCACGTCAGCTGCCTATTTCAAAAGACCTAGCTAAGCTTTTTATGAAACAGCTTTATTCAGCATCTACCAGTGACATGTAATATTGAATCTTGTTGGTGTGGTGGCCTAGAGATGTGTCTTGCATACTGTCAACTGGAAGAAATGAGTTCAAATCCCTGATTTAAGTGTCCTAGGAACACTCCACAAGGACATTCAAGCACCACAGTGGGCGAGCTACAGCAGAACCAAAAGTGAAAATACACATCTGAATACATTCCTGTTTCTTTAAAAAATATACAGACTTGGCAATCTGCATAACTGGCTTAAAAATATTATTTGTGACTGATGCATCCAGCTGCTGGCAGGAGGATATCACTGAGTAAACTGTTCAACCTGTTCTATAAACCTTGTATGAACATGGGTAAAATAGCTTTTTTAAAAAAATTGATTGTTTAACTTTGTAAGTGTTCTGAAAAGAACTGTAATTCTGTACTTGTGATTTTAATTTACAGGTACATTGAAACCCTGAAGGAACACAAACCGAAAATCATTTGGGATGAACAAATAGCTGAACATTATTTTGAATACAAGAAGTGAGTTGCGGTCTTTCCTTACTGTTCTGTGTATATTTGGGAGCATGGTTCAGTAAACACTGAATTGCTGGCTAACTAGAATGTGTGATCAAATTCAGTACACTGAGAGTCTCCCATTTGTCAACTATGTCAACAGTTAATAGGAAAGAGGGTTTCAGGGAACCAAAATAAGCCAGGCAAAGGTGAATGAAATAATAAATGTAGCTAAAACAAGCTTTAGTCGCAGACAGCACCAGGTAAGATCTTTAGAAGTATGTTGGAATGGTAAGATATCTCTGCTCAAGATACCTGTTAAGTATCAGTTAGCTGAAAAGTCTGAGCCAAAGAGTGGCCTTTGAGTATGACCGGAAGCAAAACAAAATAAAGAATCTAAGCAAAGTCTTAGAAAAATCAGAATTTAACAGATAAGCCTTAAGATTAAGGTCAGGTAAACAGCAGACTTAGATATAGCCGAAATAGAATGGTCTCAGAGAAGAATGGTGAAAATGATGAAACAAAGCTATCTCCATGCAAACTAAGTAGAACAGAGCTACTTCCATTAAAAAGAACATCAAAAGCTGTAAAAGACAATGAAGACCATTGTCTCATAATAAAAGAAGCAAACAGCTCTTAATTAAAAGTAAAAGATTATCAGCAGAATTTTGATACCCCCCAGTTCATTAACCTTGTAATAGATCATCACTTGTGAACATATCTCCTCTTTTGGCAAAGGCGTGGTAAACACATTTTCAAATTTGTACTACTTTTACAAATTTTCATATAGTATTTTTAATATAGTCTAATACAAAGCATCTGCATTGTTCAAATTACATGGACAGCATGCTATCCTTGCATATAAAATGCTTATAAGGACATAAGAACTGCGTTTTAATGGGTGAGGCCATAGATCCATCTTGCTCAGGATCCTTTCCCACAGGGGCAAAGAGTGGATGCTGAAAGGGAGAGTGAACTGGGTATAACCAGGGTTGTTTCCATTGTTCCTCTCACTTGCAGCCTCCAGCATTAAAGGTATTGGAAGTTCTAATTCAAAGGCTGTATCACCAACTCTCATGCTCAATAGTTACTGATGCCCTTTTTGTCCAAGAATTTCTCCAATTCTTGTCCCTTTTTGAGCCTGGCTAAACTGTCATTTTCCAACAACATGTGGTGGCAGTGAGTTTGATGCTTCAATTACACACTGTGCAAAAAATAACTTATTTTTGTTAGTTTTAAACTTGCTACCTACTAATTTCATTTTGTGACCCCTAGTTCTTGGATTCTGAGAGACAGTAAATAATAAATCCCTATTGACTTTCTCCTCACCATTTAGAATTTTGTAAACATTTATTATGCCTTCCCTCAAGTGTCTCTTTTCCAAACCGACCAGGCCTCTTTGTCAACCCATATGGAAACCCGTCCATATCACTGATTGGGCACAGTATTCAAGGTGTGGATGCACCATGGATTTATAAAAGGGCATAATGATACTTTCAGTTTTGTTTACAATTCCCTTCTTAATAATCCCTAATATTTTGCTTGCCTTTTTGACGGTTGCTGAGCACTGAGCTGATGTCTAGTGAACTGTCCACAATGACTCCCAGATCTTTCCTGTGCAAAAGCAACTAATGTAGAGTGCATCATAGTATAGGTATAGTTTGGTTTATTTTTACGTAGGTGCATCACTTTACACTTATCTCCATTGAATTTCATCTGCCATTTAGTTGCCCACTTCATTCAATAATGGCGCAGATCCTTCTGTAGTTCCTCACAGTCCACCTTGGTCTTTTACCACTTTGAATAATTTTGTCATCTGCAAATTTGGCCACCTTGCTATTCGCCCCCTTTGCTACATCATTTATAAGTTAAACAGCACTGGTCGCAACACAGATACTTGGGGGAACCCTGCTGTTTACTTCTTTCCATCCTGAAAACTGAACATTTATACTTACTCTTTGCTTTCTATCTTTAAGCCAGTTTCTAATCCACAAGAGTGTGCTCCCTGTAATCCCATGGCTACTTAATTTAGTTAAGAGCCTCTGATTGCAGATCTTGGCAAAGGCTTTTTGGAAATCCAAATATATATTTTCAGCTGGATCACCCCAATCCATGTGCTTACTGACACACTCAAAGAACTCTAATAGGTTGGTGAAGCATGATTTCCCTTTGACAAAGCCATGTTGATAACTTCCCAGCAAGTCATGTTCATCTATGTGCTGAACAATTTTTTTTTTATTATTATTATTTTTTTTCTATCAGTTTTTCAGGAAGAGAAGTTAGGCTCACCAGCATGTAGTTTCCTGCATCCCCTCTAGAGCCTTTTTTAAACTATAGGAGTCAAATTTGCAACCTTAGCTGATGCTGGCCTCGTCTGGGGGCTAATGGTGTATTCCCAGGTGTTCCTTTTTCTGCTGAAACCCAAAATTTCTATGGCATCTCTCTTATCAGTTGAAAAATCAACCCTATTTGATTTGATGCAGTCCTTGATGCAGAACTCGAATGTAATCCTTCTGTGGACAGCTGGTAGTTTTGTTCAATTCCCCACTCCCACCAGCACCATCTCTCTCTCCCCTCTCCCCTGTAACTAAGGCAGTAACTAATGGGCTGAAATATTTTTTTGGAACTCTGAACCCAGCATTTTCACTTTATTAATTAAATCCCCATTGTAGCTACAAGTTCTGAATTTCTCTTGCATTGTTAGACATCTTTGCTTCATACCTCTTACCAGAACTCAGTAATATTTACTGATTTGTTCACTTCTTCTCTTAATTCTTTAAGAAGGAGGGCTGGGATTTGTCATCTCTCCTTGTGAGTTTTCAGGCATCCTGTTTTGACTTTACTTTGCATATGTCAAATGATATCACAGTTCTTTTTATCACTTGAAAGTCAATAAAATCATGATCCATGTCTACCTGCCTCCACTGTGAAGTCCAGTTGGAGACTCAGTCATAGACAGGCTACTTCTAATACAATTTCCTTTTCATCTGAATATGAAGACTTCCTCTGAAAACGTAAATCATATAATCATAGAAAATGAGGGTTGGAAGGGACCTTGGGAGATCATCTAGTCCAGTGTTTCTCAACCTTTTTTGTACCAGGACCCATTTGTAAACATTGATGGCCAGTCCCTACCCACTGTCCCCTGCCCTCAGCCCCTCAGTGTGTGGGGCAAGTGGTGGTCCCAAGCAGCCCCTTGCAGCCTGGAACTATGCCAGCCTGCAAGGGAAAAGGAATGGTTTCCCACATTTTTCTCCTTTAAAGAATAATTCATTTTAAAAGTTTTTTGATCCATTTTAAAATGTGTTTGCAACCCTTTCATATATTCTTGTGACCCACTTTTGGGTCATGACCCACAGATTGAAAGATGCCAATCTACATGGATCCTGGTTTTCTCTGATTTTAAAAAATCCCCAATTTTTGGTTTAAAAAAAAGTAACCCCAAATCCACATTTTTCCATGATGTAAATGAAGCACCACCAATATACAGATAGATATATAGTAATGTTTCATTTTAAATAAGGAAAAATGTGGATTTAGGGTTACTTTTTTAAAACAGAAAATAGGAGATACTTTTAAATCAGAGAAAACCAGAATCCGTGTTGATCTAGTCCAACCCCCTGCTCAAAGCAGGACCATCTCCAACTAGATCATTCCAGTCAGGGCTTCATCAAGTCAGGCCTTAAAAACCTCCTAGGATGCAGATTCCACCAAAACTCTGGGTAACCTGTTCCAGTGGTTCACCACCCTCCTAGAAGGAAAGTTTTTCCTAATACCCAGCTTAAGCTTCCCTTGCTGTAACTTGAGACCACTGCTCCTTGTTCTGTCATCTGCCACCACTGAGAACAGTCTAGTTCCAACCTCTTTGGAACCCCCCTTCAGGTAGGTGAAGGTTGCTATCAAATCCCCTCTCAGTCTCCTCTTCTGCAGACTAAATAAGACCAGTTCCATAAGCCTCTCATAAGTTATGTGTTCCAGCATCCAAACCATTTTTGTTACTCTCCGCTGGATTCTCTCCAATCTGGCCACCTCCTTTCTATAATAAGGGACCCAAAATTAAACAGAGTACTTCAGATGTGGTCTCACCAGTACAGAATAGAGGAGAATAGTTACTTCCCTCAATCTGCTGGCAATGCTCCTACTAATGCAGCCCAATATGCCATTAGCCTTCTTGGCAACAAGGGCACACTGCTGATTCGTATCCATCTTATTGTCCACTGTAACCCCCAAGTCCTTTTCTGCACTTTTCACTTGTCATTGTTGAATCTCATGAGATTTCTTTTGGCCCAATCCTCCAATCTATCTAGGTCACTGAATCTTAGCCCTACTGTGCGGTGTATGTACTACACCCCTCAGCTTGGTGTCATGCGTGAACTTGCTGAGGGTGCAATCCATCCCATCTTCCAGATTGTTAATGAATATATTGAACAAAACCAGCCTCAGGACTGACCCCTGGGGCACTCCACTTGATACTGACTGCCCGCCAGACGTTGAGCCTGACAATCCAGCCTGCTTTCTATCCACTTTACAGCCCATTAATCCAACCCATACTTCCTCAGCTTGCTTGCAACAATGCTGTGGGAAACAGTATAAAAAATCCTGCTAAATTCAAGGTATATTACATCTACTGCTTTCCTTGCATCCACAGAGCCAGTTATCTCATCATACAAAGCAATCAGGTTCAGGCATGACTTGCCCTTGGTGAATCCATGCTGACTGTTCCTAATCAACTTCTTCTCCTCTAAGTGCTTAGAAATTGATTTTTTGAGGATCTACTCCATGATTTTTCTGGGGACTGAGGAGAGGTTGACTGGTCAAGAGTTTCCTTGATCCTCCTTCTTCCCTTTCTTAAAAATGGGTACTATATTTGTCTTTTTCTAATTGTCCGGGACCTCCCCCAATCACCATGAGTTTTCATAGATAATCACCAGTGGCTCTACAATCACATCAGCCAACTCCCTCAGCACCCTCAGATGCACTGCATCTGGCCCCAGAGACTTGTACATGTCTAGCTTTTCTAAATAGTCCCTAACCTGTTTTTTCACCACTGAGAGCTGCTCACCTTCTCCCCAAACTGTGCTGCCGGGTGCAGTAGTCTGGAAGCTGACCTTGCCTGTGAAGACCAAGGTAAAAAAGCATTGAATATTACAGCCTTTTCGTCGTCATCTGTCACTAGGTTGCCTCCCCCATACAGTAAGGGGCCCACACTTTCCCTAACCTTCCTCTTTTTGCTAACATACTTGTAGAAACCCTTCTTCTTACCCTTCACATCCCTTGCTAGCTGCAACTCCAATTGTGCTTCAGCCTTCCTGGCTTCATGCCCAAGTGTAACAGGGAACCCTAACCCTGTTACCAAGAGGCAGGGCTGCCCCTTTAAGACCTGAGTGTATAAGAACACCAAGCACCAGGAGGGTAGGGGTAATAGCCCAACCACCCAAGCCAGTCAGCTGACAGGAAGAGGATAGACCTCTGGGTACATATAAACCCAAGGGCTGAGGCTGGCAAGAAGAGGTCTCTGGCAAGCAGCTAGGGAAAGAGAGCTCCTGTACAGCAGAACTGGTCAGGAACACTGTGGCTGCTGGCCAGGCTGTTGCTATGGCTGATGAGGCTCCAGGAGACTACAAGGTACCCAGAGCTGGTAAGTACTCAACAATCAAGGAGCAGGTTTGGGGTTTTTAAGGAGCCAGAGTGTGGCTTGTAGGATTTGTGTTATGTTATAGCCCAGGGGCTCATATTTATGTTGTTGTTTTATCCGGTGGACTGGGCTGAGGCTATTGGAGGAGGAGGAGGCCTCATTGGGGCACACTACTGTGCAAAGCCCTAGTGCCAGGGGGCACAGCAACAGGGGGGTGATCAGACCCCAGAGCTAGGGGCACAGTGACAAGGGGTGATCAGACCCCAGTGCCAGGGGGAGCAGCAATAGATGGTGATCAGACCCCAGTGCCAGGAGGCGCAGGGACAGGGGGCAGACCCCAGTGCCAAGAGGCACAGCAACAGGGGGTGGGCAGACCCCAGCACCAGGTGGGACGCAGCACTGGGGGCACAGCAACAGGGAGTGAACCAATTCAGTGCCCTGGGGCACAGGTCAACATTTATATACCATCTGCGAGGCATGGGCCGCTGGGTAGGGGAGGTTTGGAGCAGTGGATAGAGACCCCTAGCATTGGGGTAGTAAATGGGCAGCCTCCCACCTGAGTAACATCATAATTATTGTTCCATCAAGGTGTGGCAGGTGAGGTAGGCGGGTGGGTAGCCCAGAGACAGAGGGTCAGGCCTACATTAGACAGACCTGGGGATGGACCCCTGTCACACCGAGCAATTTTCTTATACTCCTCCCAAGTTGTTTGTCCAAGCTTCCACTTCTTTTAAGCTTTCTTTTTGTGTTTAAGCTGACCAAAGTGTTCTCTCCTAAGCCAAGTATGTCATTTGCCACATTTGCTATTCTTCCTGCACAGCGGGATGGTTTGTTCCTGTGCCTCAGTAAGGTTTCTTTAAAATACAATGGTATTTTACAAATCTGATGTCCTGTACTTGAATGGTGGGTTCCTTTGCGTTTCCACATAACCTGCTTCCTGAGTGACACCTGGCAAAGCAAATTCGATGAAGGAAAACTTTATCAATGCTGCATAGCCTAGCTTTAAAATCTAATCTTATGAATTCTTATCTGTGAACCTCCTGGAAGGGAGTTTGATGCAATGAGTACATTGGGCCTGAAAATCTGTCTTCCCCTGACTACCTTCTATATGCCTGATTGGCAGCATTGAGGATCAACCTGTCTGTGTGGGTTCAGTTGAGTTAAAGGAAAGGAGTATCTAAGAGAATACTTTTTCCATCACTTCTTGCCTTTTACAGAGGTCTAGCTAGACTGAATGTTAATGGTATCCTGTGCAGAAAATACATTTCATTTGTGAAACTCCTAACCTGAAATATCTTTGTGTCTGCAGTTCCCAAGAAGAGATCCACTTAAATACAAAAACACCAAGAAATCAGATGATAAATCATTAAATGGCATATGATAATTTGTGTAACAGCCAAAATCAAAGGTTGCTACTGTAAATCACTGTCAAAGCTGTCTTCCTCGATTCTTCTTCAGATTATGTCCCCATGTGCATTCCACTGTGGGCACACACGTTCCCAAGATCAGAGATGTTGAGTGCGCTAGCTGCCTTGTGTACTAGTCCAAGGGTGTACAGGCCAGTGTGAAAGAAACCCTCATTCCAGTTCCACTGTCTCCCTGTCTGAGATGGAGCACAGTGTCCACAGCTTGCTTAGCCTGCTTCTACTCCTTTCAGAAAATACAGTCAAACTGTAGACTTAGATCACTGTTTTAGCGTATAGTTTAGTATCATTTTGTGTATGTTAGGGATTAAGGGAGACCCTTTAATTTAGTTCTTCCCATCCCTCCTTTTTATTCCCCCCTACTTACCCCGTGTCCACCTTTCACCTACACACACTCTTCAGTCAGGGACCAAAAGGCTAGGTCTCCTTTCAACCACCTCCACTCATGAAGCTGTGCCTGAGCTAGCTTCAGGGGATACTTAGAAGGATCAGACAAAGCCAGAAGTTCCAAGCAAGCAACTCCCTTGTGGAGGATCTGTGACAGTGGATCCTGCACTAATCTATATTGTCTCACTTTGGGGCACCAAAATAGAGAAGGTGCATGCACAGACTGAACAAATAGCTGGCAAAGATCTCTGATCTCAGACATACAGGGCCAAAGTCCTTTCCAGCTATAAGTAAACTTAGGTGCCTAAATATAAACCTATTCCACTGTGCTTGAGTCCCTGAAACTGATAATACAAGAAATGGGGAAGTCCTCCTTATTGTCCTCACAGTTCTTTTTGTGACTCAATCTTAATGGTCATATGATAGTGTGTTATAGAAGCAGATGCATTCATGGATTTTTAGGAATTTGAAGAGGGTGGAATGGAATCACAATTAGATGCTTAAGTCCATTTAGATGCACAACAGGCAGAGTAGAATCTGGCCTATGGAGTGCATGCATACCTACAGTTACCACAATGTACCTACTTACCACAAGTGAGAAAATTACCTTTCTTGGCTCTTAGCTTAGTAATCATTCTGTGCCAACAGCACTGTGTTCCCTTATCTTAGGGCCAGTAAAACTTCAGTAAAAAGTCCGTAGTATTTTATAACTCCAACTGAATTTTTTCTTCTTTTCTGGAAATAATGGAACTGTCTTGAAATTTAATTAAATCTACCAACTCCAGTATTATAAATGCAAATGATTTTTTTTTTTTTTTGCAGAAATAAAGGAGGAAAGCACGCAGTCTTCTACCCAACATTAAAGGTATGTACCTATGCCCCCTCTTCAAATGAGAGGGGGATAAGAGAAGAAGAAAGGGTAGGTAGGCGATATCTGTTTTCAAGAGCTCTCTGCCAGTTCTTGCAATGGTGACAATACCAATATGTATCTATATAAAGGGGGAAAGTCTAGATAGATAGATAGATATAGATTGCAGGTGTATTGATCGCTATGTTTAAATTTGTTCTTGCTAGAGCCAGGCCAGTGTTAAAACAATGGCAGAAGACATTTTGGCAAATCCCAAGGCAGATGCACCTTTGTAATAGTGAACTGTGCAGAAAGTTGCCATTTTATATTCTCCTTTTGCAGAATGTTTTTAATATCATGCTGCTGCAGTATCATCTGAGTTAGGTGCATAATTTCTTTAAATTATTTTGAGTAATCATTCCCTTGCGAATAACAGATACTCTACTGTGGTGATTTGTGCATTTTTAAATGCATAAGTATATTTTTCCTTTCAGTCTCAACAGGTTGGAACAAAAGGTTTAAAGAGATTTCTATGCTGAGGCAAAGATGAAGGATTGTTCACATAAAAGCAATTACGTTGACTAATACCACTCTAAATTATCACTTATTCCCCTTTCACACTACAGTTTATTCCACTGCTTAATTCTTTACATAGAGGGAGCTTGTCCACTCAGACCTGGTCTCATTCAAATACAGTAGAAAGCAGCCACAAATTCCAAAAGCCAGCAGATGTGTCCATGATTTTTTTCCAGTCCCTGTGGGAAGATTTTTAAGCATTTCCCTATAATGCTAGCGATTCAAAGATGGCTGCTTTGCTCTTGTGCAGGAGACTCTAAAGGTAAAAATAAGCTGGCTAAAAAAAAAAAGAGCTTTTTTGATTTTAAAATTCTAGTAAAGTAAAAAACACATCATTGTTAAATAATTTTTCTTTCAATAACCTAAAGTGGTGGTCATAACATAAGGAAATTTATTTAATACTAATCTCACAGTATCTTTTTAAAATGTAATTTTCTGCATGAGACTTAAGACTTGATGCTGAGAGAGGGACAGAAAGGGTTGGATATAGAAGACAACTTTGTATAAACACTGATCCCTTTGGCATTTGGCAAGTTGCATTCATTGTCTTCAGTAGTAGTCTTTCTTTACCCTTGTGAAGCCTTCTGGGAGAGTTGAAATTGTGTGTGACAGGATTTTCAGAGGGTGTATTATAACACTGTGTAAATGATAACTCAGATTAAAACAATGCAGTATGTAGCTTTGTTTACTTCTGCGCTGTTCATTTAATCAA